CGAATCATCCGTAAGGCCTCTAATCACTATTTTTAGGGGAGTTGCCTTCTTCATTTTGAAAGCACTGAACTGTACTTCATTCTTCATTAGAACAGCCAGTGGGAGATAATAATATTTCGCAAAGTCGAAAATAACTGCAATTTTCTCTCTGATCAGCATACTAGTAAAATTCTGTACTCCATGTTTGATAAAGAGTCCTCTTAAATCGCTCCATTTTACCTCCGATCCTGGAAAGATTATCGGAAGCACTCTCTCTCGCTTTTCTCTTCAGTCAAGGAATTTGAAGAAATCTCTTGATTATCGTCCTTCGCTGATGTGACATAGTACAGGCCATGGGTTCAATCACTGGAGGAACTGCTCTAGCTAACGTTAAACTAACTAGCTAGTTAGATATGCTAACTTCAAAGTTGTTTTTCGGAGAAAAATCAGAAACTACTACCGGAGGAGTTGTCTTAGCGGGCGAAGTTCTTGGCTCGGGAGTCGTAGCAGGAGTCAACTTAGTAGTTTTCAGTGGTTTTACACACCCTTCGTCATCTTTCTTGCTCAAAGAAGCAGCAGGCAGCGACTTCCCTGACATCTTGTTCCTTCGCATATTCTGTCTCAGTATGATTCTTCTCATAAAACTGCAATCTTTCAAAGTCCTCTGCATCTATGATTGCAAAAAAATCTTTTCTGCTCATCGAAAGGCTCTATCTGCTGTTGTAAATGATCGATGTTTTTGAGAGCCCGATATAACTCTTTATCATCAGGATTATTTTCATACTGTGCGAAACAATGCATAACAGCACAGGCTTCGTTGACTAAAACGGAGCGGTGCTCGTTAGGCACAGCAAAATATTCACAGCACGAGGGAGGAACGTCACGTGGTTAAAGGCAAGCATTAGTGTCGTGAGCTTTCAACCTACACCGATGAAGGCAACCCCCTCAGCTCCAGTACATTTATTTTTATATGTTGTTAAATTGTGCAATTTTTGCTTTAAAAGTACTCTGAATTAAGTTCCTTTAGTTAATCTGCATGCAATACTTATAGAATTTGAAAGTTTAGCTGGCACTACGCCTAATGAGGCCGCCATTGATTTACAACTGAAACTCTTAGCAGAACTGTGAATTAAGTCAGTTGACATACCAAATTCAGTGTCTTTTTGGACAATGGGACCAAAAGTTAACTTCCAGTTTTGCTTACTAAAAATTTGGTCTTCTTGTTCTTTGGATGAATTGCTTATTTTTGCGTACTAACTGTAACTTTAATAGTAAAAATTGTCTTTTTAACTGTATTTGCCATTTTAGGTTTTTCTGCATTTTACAATTTTTAATGAAGACGGTTTGAGTTTTTATGCATTTTTGTCTTACAGCAAAGTGACAACGGAGTTGATTGAATGAGAAACAAATCTGTAATAAAATTTGAGAAAGTAAGTTTAAATCAAGTGCAGCAAAAAATGTATATAATTTAGTGAGCCCTACAAGCAGGTTGTGTGATGTCCACATCAGATATTTTTTATTTCTTCACACATAATCTCTTGACTCCATTTGTTTTTAACTTGTACAAAATGAAATACGATTCAACAGAACTGAACTGCAATTCAATAATATTAATCACTTTATGATCGAGAAATTCAGATGGAATGACATAGTCAGGAAATGCAGGTCGATCCTCTAATTTCAAAAGTAGCATATATATTTATGCATAGAACGAAATCAATAATTATATACAGAAATGAAAACAATATTAAATTTTTGTAAGTTATCAGAGAAGGACATACTGTAGACTTAAACAGAATTATGTAGTGAAAATAAACAGCATAAAATGGAAAAAAAAAAAAAAAAAGGACATTAATAGGGAATGTGATACCCCCTCATATGTATACAAAGTTTACAACTTGTGACCATGCTTTCAATTAGGTGGTCAACCACTGCAGAATTAAGCAAACGCCATTCTTCTTGTAGAGCAGTTTCCAGCTCAATAAGGGTGGCTGGAGGTGGGAAACGTGAAGATACAGCATGGCCGAGAGCATCCCAAAGATTTTCAATGGGATTAAGGTCGGGCGAATATGCTGGCCACACCATACGTGCAATCCCTTCACTTTCCAGGTAGTCATCGACAATGTCAGCTGTATGGGGACGTGCGTTATCGTCCATTAAAACAAAAGTAGGGCCAACTGCTGCAGCGTACAATCTCACAATGGGTTCTAGGACTTCATCTCGATACTGGACAGTCAACAAAGAACCCCGTTTAAAGATGTGCTGGTCGGTGTGGTATCCTAATGAAATCCCTGCCCACACCATAATGCTTCCACCTCGGAATGCATGATGATCGGTGATGTTTTGGGACTGATTGCGTGTTCGTTGTTCACGCCATATCCTTATATGCTTGTCATCTGGCTCCAGAGCAAATCTTGACTCATCAGTAAACATGACATTGCCCCAGTCAGACACATTCCAATTGATGTTCCCGGCACCACTGTAATCGTGCCCCTCTTGATTGGACGAATAGAGGAACACAAACTCGAGGTATCCGGGCGCACAGTCCACTCATATGTAATCTTCGGCGTACAGTAGCTGCAGATAGTGCCTTACCAATGGACGATGTAACCATAGATGTCACATGTGTGGAGGTCACTCTGCGATTCCGCTAGGCTACTATAGCAATATATCGATCTTCCGCGGGGGGTTTTAACCCTTGGGCGACCGTCTACGGGCCTCCGGACAACTGTCTGTGTGGTTTGAAACTGTTTCCATAAACGTGAAATTACAGAATGATGAACGCCGAAGAAAAGAGCAGCAACATCTGTGATCGACTGTCCTGCTGCAATGTGCCACACAGCACGTCAGCGCTCAGAATCTTCCATTCGTCTTTTGGAAGTCATAGAAATACGTATGTCTTGAAAACAAATTGCACGAAAGTTTTAAACACCTTCTATCAGCACTTAAAAATCAACTCCTGTAACCCTTCATAAAGTTGGCTTCTTATAAGACTACCTTTTTTGCGTATTTCTTGACATGAAAGCGTGATTGGCTGTTACCTAACATATTTGCATACTTCCATCTACCTCTGCAGCAAATTGCAACCTGTTCAATTCTGATTGGCTTCCAGAATTTAGCATTTTCCTTTCCGTAAACAGGTTCCCCCCTCCCTCCCACCTCGAAGAACGCGCATCGGAATTCCCCTGCGTATTCTTCATCTGACGTATGCTAAAAATGATTATCAAGGTTCAAGGAAACTTCACCTTTTATTTTTCTAGTCAAAATTTTTATGGCTGCCCCTATCTAAATTATTCTGGCCCTTTTTTCGGCACAAAATTAAGACCTTCTGAGTTTTTTGCCTTTTTTTGACTCAGTGTGAAGGCACTTACTCCAAGTCATTTGGCTTATCAAAATTTTCCCTATTTGACAATCCCCTCTTTCGGATGATTTAATTTCCTTTGAAGATGTGGAGGTTTATGCGTAATTGCCTATGAACTCCGTAAATTGCACTTCCTTGATCCTTTCCGTGCTTAACTTTTGGAAGTGAGTGTACCAAAATTTCAGTTAAGACATAGTATTGCGTTAAGTACTAAAGAAAAACAAAAAGTTCAATACTGGCAACAAGTCCGGTTAGTAAGAGTGTTTGGTGGTTGGAAAAAATAAAAAACTTATTTCATTAAAGTAAATTATTCATTATTAGACCTTTTAACAACATATCATAGCAGTGAAAACTCCCAGGAGACAAAGTAGTTCAATATTCATAAATGTTTTCATGCAAAAGGAAGAAAAGAAAGATTTTACATTTTTTCTCATTATGGCTAATGACATATTTTTGTATTATGGTAACAGCTGTCTTAGTCAGATTTATTAAGTAACAATTTTTTGCATAACTTATGAAACCCAGATTTTAAAACTTTGCTAGGTCTGGAAGAGGCCATTCTATGAGCTGAAAAGGCTGCACTCTACTCCATGGTCGCATTCAAGAGGAACTGGGCCAGCTGGACTCAGGCTTCCCTTACACTGAAGTCGGGCGACACATTGTCGGTTTTATGAGGAAAGGCCTATGTACACCAATGCTATCACGCGTTCCGAGTGGAAAGTGGTGATCAATCAGAAGCGAGCTCAGATGTGATATTTTCTGGATGACTGGAAACTTGATTTGCCTTTCTAAAAAAGACAATCAAATTGGAGCTGCGAAAATTGGCTCTATGCCAGCTGCCCGAATGACATTCACGTGATACACAATTCACCAAAAAAGTGATCTCTTCCGACGTCGGCGCAAAACTCGCCTTTTTTGGCGGGATCGTTGTATGAAATTCCCTGACTTTTCCAGATTTTGACTAAAACACTTAAATTCCCTCACTTTTACCTGAATTTTTTGGTCAATTTCCGAATTCCCTGACTTTTTCCGGTTTTCCAGGTAGCGTAGCAACCCTGATACTAGTATAAAATTGTTTTACATAATTTGAAAAATAAATTATCGAGTTTTAAATTTTGAATGAGTGGTGACGAGTAAACCATTTGTTTAAAAAAATTAGAAAACTGTTATTTATGTAGAAAAGAACCTTACGAGTATGTAGCAGATTTTTATGGAATGCTTTTAGGCATTTTTATGGCTTCATGTTTGTTTTCCTAAACAAGCATGACCATTTTTCAGACAATTTATAGAAGAACATAGCCAGAGGTTTAATAGAAGACTTGCATTAGCCAATTGTGGTATTTAATTTTTAAAAGAGAAAAAGCACATGGGACAATGGCTCTTCATTAATATATGAATGACTAACTGAAGTAATTGTAGTTACTTTTAAAGTAAAATACATGTACATAAGGCAGAAACCACGTTTTAAAAGACTTTTTTAAATTCCTATTGTTTCTTACCTTTTTTTTTTTAAATAACTGCTTCCTTTTTTCAAGTATGATTTTTGTTTAATAATTCTATCAATCCTACATACATTTTAAACAAAATGTAATTTTTTATTACATTAATTAAAACAATTATATTATGGGAAGTTCATACTTCATGCAAAAATTTGACAGTATGTTAAGCAAAATGCACCTTTATTTAGGAACACATAAAAGTCATGTACACATACAATAAAGAGAACTTCTGAAAATTATTTGGGAAAGAAATGGAACAACTTATTACATTATAAATACACACATACTGAAGCTATTTTGAAATATTATTCAAAATTGCATACATGGTAGTGGTAAATACAAGCAGTGCACTGGATGTAATATAAACATGAGCTATGCTATAAGCATTTCCATCTGGTAAAATGAATAAACACAAAACCATACAGAATATATAAGTTTTATTTAAAAATGAAGTTTCAAAATGTAATTTTACAAAATAATGATTTAAGAAATATCATTTTATTATATCATATTTGCTATCTTGATGTTTAGGAAAATGCATCTTTACGTACAAAGACATGATTAGATATGGAATAGTAAAAAGTCATGTACACATATAATACAGTGAATTTCTGAAAATACTATATTAGGCAAAAGAAGAAATGGAAGAACTTAATGCATTATTAAGGCACACATACTGATGTTATTCTGAAATATTACTATTCCGAATTCGGTCCGAGGTATAGGTAAATGCTAGGCACGCATCTGATTTATGTACATTAGTTATGCTGTAAATATTTCCATCTGGTACAACAAATGATCCACCTCCACTTAGTAAAAATTTTGATGTATGAACGCTTACTTCAACTTTACCTTTAATTACAACAAAGTGGATATCTACTCCAGGGTGAAACTGACCAGGTTTCTGACAAAATGGTTTTATTTTTATAAAGCCCCAAGTTGAATGGGAACATTGGAAACTTATAGCTAAAATATAGTCATCATTATCAGGTTCATTTGGATTAGGATAATACCATTCGAGTGAGCTAAACGGTCTGATTACATTAGCTTCTACATCCGTACAAGTTGAGTTATCCCAAACTGTGATTCTTGCTAAATCTTTATTTTCCATTTTATCATTAAATTCTTTTCTTTTACCAGAAGCTTTAAATTTTTTTCTTTTAGCATGAGTTTCCCCCTCTTTATTTATTGGTAAACTTTTCTGTACGCCTAAAATGGAAATGTCACCATTTTTCAAAAACTGATATTGAATTCTTTCATTTTTCCAATAAGCTAGTGGAGAATATCGAATACGTTTCGATTGTCTCCTGTGCTTAGTTTTCAAGCAGCGGGATTTGAAATTTTGACTCACATTTTTAATTTTTGAACTACGCAGGTCTTCCTCCTGTAAAGATAATTCTGATCGAAATGGATCACTGAGACAATTAGGATGCAAAGCTGGATCTTTGGCCAGAGAATGTGAAAAATAAGATTTTCTTTGCCATTTTTTACCATGTGACAAATTTTTATTATGCTGCTCACTTTCTTCTGAAATATGACCTTCATTACTATCAAGCAAAAGATCACTGTTATTATTCGAGGCAGAAATTCTGCTGTCAATATGTCTAAGCTTTGAACTCATTGCTTTTTTGTCTAAACTTAAATGCACCAAACTATTTTGATTTTTTTTTATAGTTCAAATGTCTGATATTTTGCTCACACTTTTCACTCAAGTTATGACCAGAATCTAATAATTCTGGATCAGTGTTTATTAAATCTTGGACAATTTTTTATTATGACTGGATATCTGATAAGAAGTTAAATATTTTTTCTCGAATTCTTTTAACATGCTTTCAGGTTAACTTAAATTACCACTTTTGTTCTTTCATCTGTTCCAAATGCTTTAAAGATCTAAAAATAAAATCAGATAATGTTACATAATAATAATAATAATAATAATAATAATAAAACTAGCACACATAAATAATAATAATAATAATAATAAAACTCTAATCACCGAGGCCGCAAATTTAAAGCACATACAATCAAGTTTTCAATAGAAGGTGTTGAAAATCAGCCTCAGTGCCACTGCACTTAAAGTGAAGTGAAGTAAGTGAAAAGTCACAATTATTTTTTAATTGAACTGAATAGACAGTTTTTGTTTATCATTTCACGCTGCGCGCTTGAGTTCGTGACGCAGCAGTAATGTATGCAATCCGAACCAATGTATAATCCTTTTTTTTTTTTCTATTAATTAAATTTATTTATTTTTAATGGATCTATTAGTGATCTTACATCCTGACTCGGACAGTTGTCAAGCATCGGGTAGATGCACGAGAGCCCCTTTATTTCGATCTCACATAGGATATATTACAGAAGGCAGCAATGCAATATTAATTTATAAATTTGAAATACGATTGAACCCCCAGGTATTATGAATGAACCTTCTGGTCCCATCCAATTCCCAATACACTTAATGTGATTTTATACTACTAAAGCAAACATCCTAAGGTATGGCAATTAGGTATAACAAGCTACATGGATATCTCTGGTTGAAATTATTTTGTATTTTCTTTCCTTTTCCAGAATTTCTGCAAAATTTAACAAAAAAATTTTCTGATCCTTAAAATCATCAATGTTTAGGACGTTAGGATCTAAATTCCAGATTCCATTTATACAGGAAAACATATTTACATTGCTTTTCTTTTATGTTCACCCCTACTTTTCTCCGAGTTCTACACAAGGCTATACAAAACAGGTGCAACACCCAGTTCAGGAAAATAAGGACATAATATGTATATCTTAGGACACCACATGATTTACTCAAAGCTTTCTGATTCCGCTCAGATTCTCTGACTGAGTTATCAGACAGATTCAAAGCTGATGCTACGATGAAAATACAAGTTCATTTGTCTTTTAGAGAATGGAATTTGTTTTAGCCTTATTGGTCTGGTTTGTCTGCATATAAATGCTACCCAAGTTTCATCCTCCAAATCGCTTCAACCATTGTATGAAACAAAAAATTCTAGAAAAACAAAAAACTGCAGTCCAGAATTACAAAATCAAAGATCTAAACCTCAACAGTGAAAGCATCTGGAAATTTGTGAAAAATTTGAAAAGCTCCAACTCATATAACTAATCCATCTTTAACGGGAGTGGTTTTGTTTACAGATGATGAGAAAGCAAAACTTTTCGCTGATCAATTAAGTCCAAACAAATTTCCTACAAATGCAGTCTCAGACAAGGAAGTCATGGAATTTGTAAATTCCTGGCTAAACGCACCCAGTGTTTTAAATATGATGGACTTTGCTATGCCTCACGAAGCAAACGAAATCATCCGAGCGCTGAGACCAAAAAAAGGCTCCAGGCACTGATAGCATTAGTAATCGGATGGTGAAACACCTTCCATTTGAAATGACCTGTAAGCTGACAAGCATCTTCAATGCTGGTACGCACTTAAATTATTTTCTGCATGCATGTAATCATGCAGACATTTTTCTGATTCCTAAGCCAAGGAAACTGCATGATAATTCAGCTAACTACAGGCCCATCTGGCTTTTGTCTTAAATCAGCAAAATTCTCGAAAGACTTATCTACCACAGACTGATTGATAACATCAAGTGCTTAGCATATCATCAGCATGGTTTCAGAAAAAAACTTTCCACCACCACCCAGCCAGTTCGCCTGACTGAATTCATCACCTTGGCCCATGCACAATAAAATGAGTGTTGCCATCCTAATGCTAGACGTGGCAAAAGCTTCTGACTACGTCTTGCATCCAGGACTTTCATTCAAAATCAATCAAGATAGACCTGGCATGAGATCTCATCCTCATAATAAATTTATTCCTGAGTGAATGGACTTTTACGGTCAAGCATGGAAAGGCGATATCAAGTGTAAATAACACCCCAAGGTAGTATTCTTGTTCCGAGTTTCTACATCCTGTACGTAAATGACTTCCCAAATTCCCACGATGATGTTAACCTTCTCCTAGCAAGCTATGCTGACAATATGGCAATTGTAGTAAAATCACGTTGTCCTGACCATGCATTGACTAAACTACAGGAAAGAATTCCGGCAATGGAAAAATGGTGCCATTGCTGGAAAACATGCATCTAGCTAATTAAATCGAAAATCTTGGTCGTCAGAAAAAATCGAAAGTGAGATATTCTCAAATCACTTTATTTGGATCTTCTGCCCTGCTTGTCAAGAAAACCACCTTTTCAGGAGTTAGGGTAAATCACAACTTCACCTGAAAAGATCATGCGACCCAGGCCTGTGGGAAAGCCTATAGGATCACGTTCAATCTTTTTCCACTTTTATAGAGCGATAATCTATCACTGAACCTAAAAAAAAAAAGACTTTATGTTTTGGTCATCCGACCGATTATGAACTATGCCTAGCCTACCTGGGCCAATGCCACAGATAAGGATATTAAGAAAATTCAGGTAGTGCGAAATAAGTTTCTTAGCACAATCATTGGTGCCCCATATTACATCTGAAATAAAAGTCTTCATTTCGACCTGAAACTTGAAACAATTCAGGATTTCATCAATAGGATTAATGAAAATTTTTTCGCAAGGTCTTTAATAAACTACCCAGCAAACTTTGCCGAAGTGCTTTCCTGCAAAACTTTTCCTTTTCATACAAATATAAAAGCTTGTATTTTTATGGATAAAGCAATTATTCATAGTTATAAATCCACAATTCAAGAAATCATAATATTATGCTAAGTAATTTGTCATATAAAATTATTAACTTATAATTAATTATTAATGGAACAACTGTAATTAAAACTTAATATGATTTCTTTTAAAAAAATTCAAGTTGTTAATAACTTTTTGTGAAAGTAGTGACATTATTAATTGGTTTCATTTTATGTTTCTTCATTCAATCTATAATTTTGCAAGTTTAGATAATCTTGACATTAGCTAATGACAAATGAAATAGTGGAATTCGACTGTACACAAGGGGATTTTAACCAGTGTGACATTTCATAGTTTCAGGAGGAAATGCAGTCAGCCCTTTATTTACCTGTTAAGTTAGTTTATGAATAGAATAAAACTACTTTTATAATACAGAATAGAATAAAACTACTTTTATTAGACAAAAAAAAAAAAATAATAATAATAATAATAAAATAAAAATAAAAAAAATGCACCATGACGCACCAAGGAGATATAAAGCAAATTGGACACAAATTGATATGCATACAGGTTTTGACGGAAAATGCAAAATTTTACGTTTTGGCTGCCAATGAATGAACGGTTGTCGCTACAGTGCATCTGATCTGCGCAACTGGCAAGATATTTAAGAGGATAAATTACGATTAAAGGTCATAAATTCTTCATGAATTACATTCTGTGTACTCTGGTAAACAATAACTATGCTTCGCATACAGATGCACGAACGACATGCGCAGATGTCAAAATTTGAGAGAGGTCATGTAGTTGGGCTCAAAGAAGCCGGTTGGTCTTATCGGCGAATAACTCAACATTTGAGCAGGAGCGATGCCACTATTAGACGATGTTAGCAGGAATGGGTGAACCATGGCCGCACACAGCATCAAGAAGGAAGTGGTAGGCCTAGGGAAACTACAGAACGTGAAGACCGAGCAATCGTCAGAGCGGCACTCACAGCCCCAGATGCATCATTATCATCGATTGTAAGTGCTTCAGTGACCGCAAGGACCATTCATAGACGGCTCACAGAAAGGGAGCTGAGGTCACGGCGACCCTTGCGCCGAGTACCATTGACCTCCGTAAACGTCAAGCCTGTTTACAGTGGTGTCAGGCTACTTCGCACTGGAATGTCACTGAATAGAGTAGAAGTCTTCAGTGATGAGTCCCACTTTGAACTGAGCCCCGATGACCAGCGAAAAAGAGTCTGGAGAGGTCCCAGACAACGGTGTGATACCAACCTGACTGTCTTCCGGCAGACAGGCCAACAACCAGGTGTGATGATCTGGGGTGCCATTTCATTTTATAGTATGATGACCCCTTTGGCTGTCATCTGTTGCAACCTTACAGCATAGCGGTACGTCAACGAAGTTCTAAGGCCCGTTGTGCTGCCCTTTATGTCATGCTACACTGGGCTTACATTTCAGCAATATAATGCCCGTCCCCACACTGCACATGTCTACTGCCTGTCTTAGTGCTTGCCGAACATTACCTTGGCTAGCAAGGTCGCCAGATCTCTCTCCTATTGAGCATGTTTGGAGCATCATGGGCAGGGCCCTCCAACCAGCTCGGGATGTTGACGATCTAATGCACCAGTTGGACAGAATTTGGCATGATATCCCTAAGGAGGACATCCGCAACCTTTATAAATCAATGCCAAGTTGAATAACTGCTTGCATAAGGGCCAAAGGTGAACAAACACGTTACTGACTGTTTCACTTTGTGAAGCTCTATCACTTCAATAAATCATCCAATTTTTCTCAAACTATAATGCTTTGTTTTTCTGTACATGTACATCACTTCTACCAATTTTCGTCCCATTCGGATAACTCCTTCTTGGTGCATCTTTTTTTTTTTTTTTTTTTTGTCTAAGCGTGTATTTATGAATATTTTCTGTGTTTTTTCTTTTTAATTTATACAATTTTAAGAAATAATCTAAATAAATGTATACAGTGACTCACAAAAGTGTTCGTACACTTACAAGCATCAGTGAAATATTGTTTTATTCATTAATACAAATTTAGAATGAAATTTTTATAATAATAATATTTATAAATTTCTCTCAAGAAACTAAAACTACATTAATTATTTTATGAACATATTAAAACCTTTTCTTGAGGAAAATCAATAATAAAAAAGGAACAGAAAAGTTACCCCACAAAAATCTTCATACGCTTTAAAGAAATCTGCACATATTAGTAAATATTGTAGTATTTCTGTCAGTTAATATTTTGTAGTATGTACTGCAGTATTTATGACAGCTTTCAAATATCTAGACTACTGTTTTTAGTTCTTTTTTTTTTTTTTTAATGTTGTGTCTTTATACTCTAATTCTCTCCAGTTGTGTTTGTAATGTTGGGTTTAAATCTGGTGATTGAGGTTGTGTTTACAGAACTTGTGGACAATTATAGACACCCAAAAGGTGAACGTTGAGGACTGTGTGCTTATCATTATCCTGATAAAAAATAAAGTTGTTTACAGCATCTAAATTTTAGGCAGATACTTTTAAATTATCTTTTAAGTATTTAAATACAGAACACGGCTCATTATCAATAAATACTAAATTACTTAATCCTGATGTTGACATGCATCCTCACACATGACACGTCCTCAGCCATGCTTTACTGCACCAACCAAGGTCTTGGGTTTAACACGTTGAGTGCTGTGGGTTTCACCGGTGGCCGGCAGGCGACTTGGCTACAGCACTGCAGGGACCACCGTTGACTGGTGAGGAGGCCAATAGTAAAAATGCATAATTAGAGTAAATATCGATACCTTTTTAAATAATACCATTGTTTCTATAATGTTTTGAAAAATAATAAATCACAAAAATTCAAATAATAAACCACAAAAATGGTCTACAGAGCCTCAGGGTCGCCGGTGATCCCTATCACAAAAATTGCATTAAACACAATTATATAACTCACTAACCCTCTGTAGGTACTATTTTAACATAATATACTTCGCATAACAAAAAAAATTATTGCTGGCGTCATGAGCAAAACACATAAAATGCGAGCGGCAGTCAACGTGTTAAGCTAATTTTTTTTTTCTTTTACACAATTATACGCCCATTGGAATAAAAAATGTTAAATTGGCTTTCATCTGCATATAAGACATGATTCTAATATGCTTTGGGCTTATTTACCACTGATTTTGAAAAGAATAGCCTAAGCTTTCCATTTTTTGCACTTCCAAAAATTGAATTTCAATCCTAATGATAAAAAATTACCAATTTTCGAATGCTGTTCATTGTTTCCTTATGACAAGCCACCTTTAAACTTTAAAGAAAATTTAGCGATGCAAGCAAAAATTAAACCCAAACAACTTTTTAAACATCAACAAAATGGGGGGGGGGAACCAAACGATGGCCAATTTTATTTATGAAATTTTACGAAATGTTTCAGTTACCACTACTTTTACGGCGTTTCATTTATGCCTCCTTACATTTTCAATTTTAGAAACAAAAAATAAGTCAGTATTAAAAATTAAAAAGTTTGGTTTCATTCAAAGTTGCATGGAGATGATATGAAAACATTTTGGGCTTTATATTCGAATTCAGTTTCGGGTTACAGTGCTTTTTCTGCAAATTTTTGAAGTCTGCTAACACTTTTGTGAGACGCATGTATTTTTCAAGCTTTGGAAAGGAGCGAGGGGGATGATCATCTAACACCAGTGAATTGGGTGCATGGGGCAAAAGAGGTTCAGAACCAATGGTTTAATAAAACTGAATTTTAACTTATTGTTTCTAGGTCAATGTAAGAAATGGTACTTAACGTATTAACGCCACCGCAGCAGAAGTTGTGCTGATGCGCCAATAAAAAGCAATCCTGTTGTTTGCATGCAGTTATCTTTTGATTTCCTTTTTGCCTTGCTGTTTGCTGATTTTTGACGCCATTTTTTAGTGCTATGAAAATGCATCTTTGGGATTTGCCAAACACAGAAGACGATGCAATTTTATTTTTTCAGGAGAGAAATATTTTAATAAAAAAACGAAAATGTATCAATTCGCATGATATGAAACTCCAGTTTGGTAAACGTATGTTTTTAAAATGTAATTTAAGTCAGTGTGATCAGCAAGTGGGACTTAAAAAAGACAACTGGTTTGAAGGAAGCAGAATTCTATTTTGTTCAGCTTTGATATTCATATACTGCTGGTGCAAGGAGTTGATGTCAGTTAAATTTTGTGAAACGCAACTTAATTTATTGAAGAAAACTATTATAGACTGGAACAATTACATGCATGAATTATGTGTCTTGGATATGGAGAATAAAACAAACAAGAAGGTAGGTGGACCAGACTGCATTGTGGAAATTGATGAAAGTTTGTTTACTAAGCATAAAAATAATTGTGGTTGAGTATTACCCGAACAGTGGGTGTTTGGTGGTATATGTAGAGAAACAGAAGATTCGTTTGTTGTCACTGATACAATTTTATTGATCCTGATATGTGAGTTCATACACAAACAGTTGAGAGAAAATGGGGCAGTACTAAATGGAGGAACAAGAGACATGGGGGGCAGCAAGATATCATTTAGAATCTTATTTAGCAGAGTTCATATGGCGACAACATCAGGTCAAAGAAAATAGAGACTGTTTTGAATCTATGCTAAACTCTATATCGGCCCATTTTCCACTGAAATCCGATTTAATACTTTGATTTTAAATAAAGTGTTTTGAATTTTGAAAGTATTCTCATTTTAAATAAAGTGTTTTAATTTATGATTTGCTGCAAAAATTTAGGTGTAGATTGGCGGCACTTAAAAACCTCCTAATCCGCAGCTGTAGTGGAGTTAATACGTAAGTACCTAAGAAACTTATGTTAAAAGAGAGAAGATAACACTTTTAACTATTATCAATACATTACTACAGAGCCTAAATTGCATCAGAGCATGGTTTCAGTACTTCTCAATTTAGATAAAAATTATAATTGTAGCCGGAATGCACCAAAGCCCTCTCATTCTTGAAAAATGGATTTTAACAATTAGTTTGCCTTAAAAATGGTTTTAAATTCCTGAATACATGTCTGTCTCTGCGAAACTAGCATTTTGATGAAAGTTGAGACGGCAGAAGAGCCCCACCCACATGTCAGAGGTTTATTCTTTAGGAAGTGCAATGAATTTAAATTTGAAAGTTCTATGTGCCCCTGAAAAGCATATGTGAGAAAACATTTTCGTTCATTCTTCTCAAGCAACAAACAATTCGTAAATAATTTTTTTTTTTTATTGCCGAATCAGGAAACAAAATCTTTTGACATTTCAGGTTAGCATGTATGATGTCATGATTTAAATTTAATGTTAATACAACATTTCATCAATATCAATGAAGAAATTAACGTGCCAATAATATATCATGTCAGTTATCTTAACATGAAACAAAAGAGTTGCCAACAGCAGTGATTTATTTAAAATGCTTGACATTAACGAACATTTTTCGACACACAGTGACAACACATGCAATCACGTGCTTTCTTCAGCATCAGAATATGACCTTACATAACAATAATATGTTTAATATTTGGCAATGTTATTTTTATTTCATATTTTGTAAAACTTACAATTTTTTTATTAACAAACTCTATGACTTGAAAACGAGCAGTAGCAACACTTTTCAAATGAAAGCATTTTTATCTCCAACATGCGAGACTGTTGCCACTTGGAAAAATGAGTGCAAAAACTAGTGTTTTCAGAGTTTTTAATTAATATCTCGGCTGATTACAGTTGCACAAAAGCGGGAACAGTCGAAATGGCTTCCCGTAAACTTTAGAAATCCAGAGCAATATATTAAATGTTTGGCAATGTTATTTTTATTTCATATTTTGTAAAATTTACAAAATTTTTATTAACAATCTGTACGATTTGAAGGTGAGTGGTAGCACCACTTCTCGAAATGAAGCAGATTTTTATCTGCAGTGTGCGCGACCCTTGCCACTTAGAAAAATGAGGGCAAAAATTAGCCTTTTCAGAGTTTTAAATTTTAATATCTCTGCTAATTAAAGTTGTATGAAGATGAGAACGGTCGAAATGGGTTCCCATGAATTTTTGGAATCTGGGGGTGCCTCTCTCGAAATTCAACCCACCACCATTCCAGAGGAGATAATGCCACAAACAGACAAACAAGCGCAAATTTTTAATAGTTTAGATTGACAGGGTTGTAGTCAGATTTCTTTCTCTTTGTTTTCATGCTTAAACATCTCCGTTAAGATATCCAGTAGCCACGTTCTTCTTTTATTCAAAAATTCCTTTCCACATTGCACTCATTCTCATGATTTTCTCTGCTCTCCAATATCTCTTCTCTCAAATCACTTCTAACTGCCCCCCGACGAATGGGTCATCCCTTGGTAGCACTCACTTCTGACATAGTTCAAAAGACTGGCGGTATTTATGGGAATGAGATGGCTGATATGCTTGTGAAAAAGGGTTCTCCAAAAGCCAAAAACGAGTGCCAGCCTCCATTCTATTAAGCTTCTGACATCGCTAACATATCAAAAGACTTTTAGAGATTTTGCCACTCGGGCTAGTGAGGGCAAGCCTTGGAGTGTTCTCTCATCAAACCCAGCTTTTGTTCCTGACCACCTGCGAACAATTGCGTTGCATCTTTTAGACTATTGACGGGACATGACTGTCTAGAGAATCATTTATTTCGCATTGGACTAGGTGATTCGCCGTTGTGTGTTTTATGTAATAGTGGATGGCAGAACATTTGGACGAGTGTGAAGCACTGACAAATTTTTCTTGTAGATTTCAGCACTATTGGCAAGCAAGGATTTTAATGGCCTAATGGCCAATGTAACTGGCATTTGACAAATAGTTCAAAAGACTGTTCTACATTTTTCTTCAAGTTAAGATGTTCTATGCTTATATATTTCTTACTTCTTTCCATAAAACATTCTTTAGCATAATATTAATTTTAGCAATTAATAGGAATTACACTTTAGAACAATAACATTCTTTTTTTTAACAAATCAGAACAAATTTTATAAACTTGATAATAAATTACTGTCAATATAAATTAAAACTGGGGAATGAAATTATATAGTTTTTCAGTTCAACATAAAGAAAGCTTATTTCTGCCAGAAAGCCTATAACTCTAGATCCTGGCATTTTCATTGAACAACCTATGTGGTGTCAAATCAAAAGACTCAAAGCTGTATTCAAATCAAAAGACAATATTACATACACTACATTATAATGTAACATAATACATTCTGCTTACAAAATCATTTTTCTTCTATGAAAAAAAAAGTGTTAAGTATAATTCCAATGAACACTTTACCGACCGCTAGCGGTTCAACAACGTACGCACGTCCGACCAGCCGCAGATTCTCCCTGTCCTGAATAACTGCCAGGACAATCTGATAAATCGACTAAATAAAATTTTTTCGCTCATCTGAACAGTAAATTTTTTAAAAACGGTGTGAAAATGTGGAAGTTTTCTAAGCAACGCACTTAATGCGAGTGAGCAATGTACCTCAATACTAATAACAAAATGCGGATGCTATAGCAAATAGCAATTGTATATCACCATAGCTATCGATTGATAGGGTTTTTTTAGGTAGCCCCGAGAAAAAAGCGATTAATAGGCTATCGGTCGACAGGCGTTGGCGAAAAAAGCCGATTAATAGGCTATCGGTCGGTAGGCTTGGGAGATAAAAAGCCAATTAATAGGCGATCGGTCGGTAAAGTGTTAAGAAAGTCATTTCAACAATTTAAACAAACCTAAATATTAATGTAATTAAACGAAAAAGTCTGATATGGACAGCACATGACTTCCTTGTACAGCCTATTAAATTATACACATTTTTTGCTGTACTTCAGTTAAACTTTGTTTCCTCAAATTATTCTAACTTAATTAACAAATCCCTCAAGGCAAGTTGAAAATGACATCAAAACTTGCAAACTTCGAAATCAAACATCCTGGTCAAATTTTGTTGTATTGGAGTAAAACATCTTGAATTTTTATAACAAGTATAAAACTTTCTCAAATATAAGTATAGGAAGCAGAAGAACACATTAGAAGTTAAAGTATTTGTCAATAACACTTTTTTTTTAAAATTAGACACTGCCAAAACATGAATATTTTCATTAAAAATTCATTTCATTTAAAAACCTTTTGTAACTGGAAGTATATAACTTTGACCATTGATTGTGAAAATGAAAACCGGGTGAGGACTTTAAAGCGGCGTAAAGGGATGGGTACAGAGATCTGCTTAGCAATAAAAAGGGTCCATATGGCTTCTGGAATGGTCAAAGTGGATATTTCTGTTGAAATATGATACCAATAATTTTTCACAAATACAATACTTCCTTTAATTCATACAAGGAAATAAAAGCAAAACAGGTCTGTACTACTGTGAACTGTCACAAAGTGCATACATTTTTAAACTGAAAAATCACAAGACTGTAAAAATTTAGATTGTTGTATGCAGTATCACTAATTATGTTAAAGAAACTTTTAGTAACTGGAGTAAAATAAAACTCTTGATGATTTAACAAATAAAGAATTTACTAATAACTATAATCCAAAGATACAAATAATATTAGCAATTTTTAATGATTGAATTTTAAAATGGAGTACGAACTGAATTATGATAGCCTTCTGACAGAACACAATCATCTCTCTGAGTATAATTTATTGTATTCCTTTTGGCAAAAGCTACCACTACAAGCTTCAACAAAGAAAAACATCAAAATCTTTCACAATCATAGACAATATGGATGAACCGCTAAAAATACCTTAGAAAAGACAAAACAAAATTTCTTTGAGCATGCAAATCATTTAATAAATGATGAGAGAGAAGAAAAGGAACTTGGAACTAGCTGTTATGCTGCCACGCAGCTATTATAAAATAGCTCTTTCTAGCTCATTAGAGAATCCTCAATAGGACATGACAAAAGTAAGAGTTCCTTACATGATTTTTCCAGGGAACATCATGAAATAAGGTAGAAAGCGAGGACGCTTTATCCTCCAAAAAGCAGAAAACATTGGCAAGAACTGGAAGTGGGTGGCGCATGCGACTCCATCTGGTGTAATCATGGGGTAGGAGGGGCCAAAAGAATACTGGGATCATTAACTGGTGAATCAGAAGTATTAGTCATGTGAGTTGTGTCAGCAAGTTTTAAATCCATGGTATGAGAAAATTAATTTCTAACAGCAATTTCATAAGAAGATGTGGGAATTAAAGCAAACACGCAAAAAATGCAATACTTTTAACTAATGTAATCAATTTGAAATATGGGTGGACAGGGATTAAAAAAAGTTTAAGATCTTAATGATAGAATAAGGCCTACAACTTTCTCACAGAAAACTAATTGCAATATATATATATATATATATAAAACAACTAATCCTTACTAGTTATGAAATCCTTACTAGTTATGGGATAAGGGAGATACTCAGCATACAAAGGTTAAAGGTACAAAACTGACATTATACTTTCCGTAATCACAATGAATATGAAATTTATGAATGAACCTTTGAGCAATAATTGCAGACTTATTTATTACTAACAATTTTTTAAATTCTTATTTCTGATTGAAATTCAGTAAAAAAATGTATATTTTTTATATAATTTCTGCATGCTAAAATATATGAAAAAATTATTCTTGATTGCCAAAATAATTCACATTCCTACTTATGTAATTTTACTTTACAAAAGAACCAAATTACATTAAATGGGAATAAAACAAGAAAAGAGAATTTATGAATAAAACAGTCTTTGCTTACATTCTAAAAACCAAATTTTAAAATGTTGCAAAAACTCAAGCTATCCAAATGAATGGCTTCATCCAGAATCGGATTTAGACTTGATAAGTTCCTAAGTTATTTGATATACAGGGCCCTTTTTCAGTCTGTTACACTACGGGGGCCTAAGCTATAGCTTGTATGTAAATCCTGCACTGGCTTCACCAAGCACCCTTCCTTCTATTGTTGTTATTTGTATGATACCAATATTTTTTAGAATTGATGTCAAGATACAGCACAAAGTCCGTAATCCGGACGTCCATTATAAGGAATGATCTATAATCCGGACCTCAAAGGCACAAACTTTTTTTTTTTTGTATGCTTTACAGATGCGCATAATGCGTTTACACATGCACGTTATAACGGATGGTATTAGCTAGGCTAAAATTATCTTACTGATTCTAAGGCATTTCACTTAATGTTGCAGATTGCTCTGTTCCCTAATCTTCTAACTGGATTCAGCTTATTACTTTTTTGCAGACTGTTAGAGCAATTTTATAAAAATTAAGCTTGAACTTTTGATTATGTCAAAAAGAGTTTCCAATTCTGGAGCTGCCAAAGGACCTACAAAGCAAGCATGTTTCCATGTATCACTTCCAATAGTGAAGAAAGTGACAGAGAGGTTATTGAAAAAGAAAAAAATTTCGATTGACAAGTTAGTCGATATTCTCGACACAGCAATTAACAGGACTTAAACAGTGGAACTTCGTAACTAAACAAGAAATTATGTCTGTTTATAGAATTAAAGAGAAAGTATTAGCACAAAAAACAAAGCAACTTAAACAACTTACATTGAACGAAATGGTTAATAAAGTAAACAAATAAATATTAAACTTTTTTTTTTGTAAATTTTGATACCCTTTAGATCATAATTGCTCTTTATTTCATAAATTACGGTTTCATATTTTATATTGTATAATTTCTGCATGTCATCTTACCAGATTTAAATTGATGATCTATAATCCGGAAAAACCCCTAATCCGAAATCGCTGAAGTTCCGACAAGTCTGGATTACGGACTTTGTACTGTATTGCATATCTGTACTGGAACATGAAATCAAGGCTCTCTATATAGCCTTTCTACTTTTAACCTCCTTTTTGGTGATTTTTTTTACAAATTTCTGACCCTAAAAAAGCATTTTTTTTTTTTTTTTTGCTGAAAATTAATTTATGTTCTACCCTAAATGCGAAAATGCAAAATATTTTTGACAGTAAGCAGGTTTTCATGTACCTACAGGTGGTTAAATATGTGATATCCTATCCACTGAACACCAGTTTTTTTCCTGCAATGAATCCAAGTTTTAAATAAATAAAAAAAAAAAAAAAAAAGGTGATACTATATATTTTAATTCTGTTGTTTTGACGTGTTTAATATAAATATCTACATAAAAATAAATATTAAGGTTACGTAAAAAATGCTTTAGAAATGGTTTTCCAAACTTACTGCTAAAACAGCTTACAACCTGCCTAGGACATCACAGCATAAAAACCACATTAATCACAAAACCAAAAAATCACTTATTAAATCATAATAACAATAAAACTTTTTTGCTTACTTTATAAAAAAAATTGACTATGAATATAAAAAAATATCTTGAATGGTTTTTTAGTTGAGATTCTAACAGATATCAATTGGATATTCATGGATATTCAAGACGGGAAATCTCACTGCAAATGTCGTAAAGAAACGAGGACTAGTCTCGCTATCTCTTGGCAATATTCAAAAATACAAATATAATCACAGAATTTAAAGTGACGTATGAGTAGTGACAAATTCAGTTTCAACAATAGAATTTTTCACTTTATCACACGGCATGCGATGCCGACCCTATGGGCACAAAAATACCGAACGTGGGAGTTGCGATGCCGACCTAGAAGGGGTTAAGGCTATTTTTGTCCTGGGCTTGTTGACGACTCTAGTTTTGGCCCTTTCAATTACTGTGTTTGTTTTGTTGCTATGTTGATCGACAGAAAATAATTGCTATGAACCAATGCTGTAACCGAGAGAACTGTCAAGCAAATAACATGCAAACCCAATATATCTGTTGATATGATGTCCAGTTTGTCTTATTCTTAACAATATCCAGATGGATGGATCTGGGATAATGGAAAATTTATATCCAAATCTTTTACATGGGATAATAGGATTGTATGGCAATGCTCCAATGAATGTATTTGGTTGTCATTCTACCAGTAAATTAATTTTTTCTGAATGAATTGCAGAAATTTATCTATATATTTTACTAAGTTTTTTTTAAAACAAATGATGGATGGCTATCTATTGCCTGTTGTGATGTAGACAATGTATTTAATTGTTTTCATAAAGTTTAGGTGTATAACAGAATTCCTTAGCACATTTTAAGAGAAATAAAATGAAGCTATTTTACCTGGATGAAATATGAAAGAAATCAAATGAGATTCTTGCTGTGCTGCCAGTTGATTTACGGTAAATTGCAGTATGAAGTTTACTTCCAATTCTTATACAATCCAGGTATACTGGATGCTAACTTCTTTGTTAATAGTAATGTGCTTTAGGTTTGCCTTCTGAATATTCCAACTGGACAATGGTATCATCAGCACATCTGTTCGAAAAACAGGTTTTTTAGAAACTCTGTAAAAGAAAAACATTTTATGTACTGCATATAAATAACAGAGAAGCAGGAAGACATTAGTTTGATTAATTTAACTGAGATTAAAGCTCCTACATAGAATTTTTCTTTCTGTTTGCATGCTTGCCCACTGGTTTCAAAACACTATAAAACAGTGCTTAACATGGCATTTATGATTCTTGCCTTCTGTAGGATTGAAACCCAGGTAGTTGAAAAGTCGCAGGTAAAGCTGACTACAGTAGCCAGCTCCTCTATAACCATGCCAATAGGGTGGCTCCTATTAAATGTAGCTCATTCAAATCATCTGGGATAACTAATCAACTAGATAATAAATACTAGTAACAAAGATGCACTTATAACTTCATTATAAGTATATAAAAAAGGTTTTATATACATGGATATTTAACTCACAAATGTATAAAAGGGGATATACATAATCTAGTATAAAAAATGTATTCAAGAACTCTAGCCTAGCCTATATGTAAAGAAGGACCACCACATGGAGGATGTACAGAAATGTTTTTAAATATTAAAATAACTTTTAAAACACAGAAAGTCACTAGAAGTTGAGTTCACGTACAGTAAACTGATTATGCTTTAATATATGACACCCAATGCAGCATCCTTAGAGGTGACATTAGTGATGCTATTGGAAAAAAAAAAAAAAAAAAAAGTGAACATTAGTTGCATTACCAATTTAAAATGAAATAACACCCTGCATTACCAACAGCATGAATATAAGCCCTGAAATGCAAATCCCTCATCCAATCACAAGCATAAATATATCACTAAAGAGGCTGCAAAGTGTGGAATTTTTAAATGAAATTTCCCTTCAAAATAGTTATGTGTGGATGATGATACATGGAAAAATTATGACATAACTTATCTTTCATATAAGATACAATGGTTATGGAAGATAAATTTTGGATTGTAAATTGACAAGTGGACTCTATGCTAGAGGAGATGGTGGGGAATATGCAGAAACATATCTTATTGCATTGTAGGTTGCATGCAACTGCCAGAAGTACATTTAAAGTGAGTTTAGGCCAGTTCAATTTTTGCTGGCCTCCTGTGTTCTATGATCTTGTTAGGAGTTCTGACACCTTTGTAGTCTTGTGCGACTTTGTTTTTTGAACTTTCAGTATTGTTATTTATATGATTGGATTTTTATTTTGTCATTCTATTATTTTGCATATTGCCTATGTGTGATTACCTTATGTATTGATGTTTTGAACTGTTGATGTATCACTTTTCCTTTGTATTATTATTTTTAAGTATTTTTCATTTTCATTATTTCAAATCGGTTTATTTTCTTTTACAAAAGAATTACATAGTTTAATTATTCATGGTATGTTTTAGTAATTTTATTATAATATTGTTTGTATTTTATATATATGTAAGAGAAATAAAGAATATGTAAAGATTTTAAATTAGCAGCGTAAATTAATTTCATTTCTCTATTCTAAAAATAGCAACATCTATTTGCACTGCATCATTTCGAGAAAAATCTATGTCATATGACTCTTACCTAAATCTGGTGATGTAAATTGATCTAAAACTCAAGCAGCCAATAATAATTTTAAAGCAATATTAACTATCCAATCAAAATGCTTTGAGAACCAAAACTAACTCAGTTTGACTTAAGATTTCATCCTGAACATTACACACTTTCTTTCTACGCTTTGCCTTAGCTGGACTGCAGTCTGTCTGCTTCTTCTTTTTTGCTGCAAATCTATCAAAAATGTAAGCCATTTGAAACAGGCACATTTAATGTGGTGACTTGTGTGTAGCCGTAACATGTTGCTGAAAATAAAACTGAAGATTTAATCTGCCTTTGCCTCCAATTTCTTAGTAATTATGGATCAGCACTTCTACGCCATCAAAATTCCTCCTCCTGCTCTTCAGTTACTTCTGACTGTGTTTTTATTACATGTATATTTTTTTTGCTCTCTTCAGGCCTAGATTTTATGTTTTTATTGTTGAATTCTTTGTACTGTGAGTTATTTACTTGCATCTGTAAGCCTCGTGGAATACTTCGTGGAACACGGGGGGTTTTGTATCTGTTTTCTTGATTTAAAAAAATACATAAGCTGTTTATTTAAGTCTAAGCATGGCAAGTTATTCCAAAGAGCAGTATTGTGAGATGGTTCTTTTTTATGGGAAATGGGGTCATTGGATAAAAAATACAGCATGGCAGTATGCATTACATTTCTCTGATTATTCGTGTCTTACTGCAGCAATTATAATCAATGTCTTTCAGCATAGAGAAACTGGGAAGTTACAACTCGTCACCATTCAAAGAGGTCAGCACCAACAGGTACACATGCACAGGCTTTTTGTTTGGTCATGTATGCAAATTTTAGTTGAATTGTGGCTCATCTGTACAGTGCAATACTAATGCATCTTCTGCTGCCAAGACAGTATTAGAGGTAGTATGAGTGATAAAATTCTTGACTAACATCACACAGATGCAAAATTTGATCATAATCAGTTGTTAAACCAACATAACTTGCAACACTATTGGGAACCTAAAAACTCATTTCCAATAAGTTGCAGCATTGTTAGGTGTGAACTACAAAACACAGCACCTGATTTCTTAAATGACAAGCTGTTGCCTATCTGCTTTCTGTGTAATTCTAACATAATGATACTCCACTACATTAGGTGACATCACTATGAAGCTTTTTACTGGACAATTTCAGACACAGGATTACTGATTATGAAATTATTACTGAGTATGGAAGTTGCACAAAAATTACCTCACATAACCCTGATTTATTTCTTAGTTTTAGCAAATATTTTCCACCACCACACACAACACAAAAAATGGGGGGGGGGGAGATCAGTAGAAATGTAAGAAAATAAACTGTTAACTTATTCATATTATTATGCCTATTTTTTAATTACACATAGTGCTGTTATATTATATTAGTAATTTAATATTTGGATTATTTAAATGCAATATTTTTATATAACTATTTACTTACTTGCTATGAGATCTACCTTCACATTGATAAATTTAGACACATTCTGACAACTGAAATATTCCTAAGAACTAATATTGAAATGAAAATTTAAAAACATAGATTTATTTATAAAATCATAAACTGTACAGAACAATTTCTTACTGGACTAACATGACAGAGAAAAATTCAATGAGATATCATATCGATAAATGAATGAGAATTCTATAACATTTTTCATTGAATTTTTGCAGAAAATTATTTTGCACTTTACTAAAGAAGTTATATAACTAAAGGAGAAGAGAAACACGCTAATGTGACAATCAAAATCATAAAAACAACCTTTTATTTAGCGTAAGTATATTGAAACACTCAATCGATTTTGAGGGCAGCTAAAGGTCCCTCCTCATCAGGAGAAAGAAATATACAGAAAGAAGAAAAATAAAGGGGAAGGAGTCTCAGAAACATGTGGTCCTTATTAGCACTGCACGTGGTTATAACCAGATTTTTAATCAGTGGCCGCCTACTTTTACTGAGCCAGGCTATTTGATCAAACATGTAACACAAAGGACAACAAAAATTAGCGAAGTTAAAAATAGGGAGCGAGGGCAACTGCTCTTCCACGCTCAAAATCTGACTTCGAATAATGGAAAGCAACCACTGAACAGATTTTTATACACTCTGGTAGTACGAAATGTTCCTTGATTCGAAACTTCAACCCTCTTTTTGTTTGGCCAATATATCTTAAACCACACTGACACGATATACTATAAATTCCCCAAGAATTCAAGGACATGAATCTTATGTCAGAAAAGGCGAAATTAACAAGTCTTCAATAGCGTATCATAGTTGGACATTTAACATAATTTTGACTTTGGTCTGCAAAAAATTATCCAAAAGGCTTCTTCCATAGGTGAATTGGATTTTCTTGAGCTTTTCATATTGACAAAGATTTTAGCATGTTTAGTTAATGATTTGAAGTCCAATCCAGTTCCTTCCTAATGCCTTTAAAATTCTACTATCTTAATTAAGTTATTTTTGCCGATAGATGGCATTCCCCTCCTCGTTTTCATACTACCAGTGTATAAAATCCGTTCAGTGGGTGCTTTCCATTATTTGAAGTTCAGATTTTTGAGCATGAAGGTGCAGTTGCCCCTCGCTCCCTATTTTTAACTTCACTAATTTTTCTTGTCCTTTGTGTTACACGTTTGATCAGATAGCCTGGCTCAGTAAAAGTAGCCGGCCAGTGGAACTCTGATTAAAAATCCGGTTATAACCACGTGCAGTGCTAATAAGAACCACGTGTTTCTGAGACTCCTTCCCCTTTATTTTTCTTCTTTCTATGTATTTCTTTCTCCTGATGAGGAGAGACCTTTAGCTGCCTTCGAAATCGATTGAGTGTTTCAATATACTTACGCTAAATAGAAGGTTGTTTTTATGATTTTGAAGCTATATAACATTTAGTTTAAAATATGTTACACTATTCATAATTCATTTAGCCCCACAGGTGTAAAAACAGTTAATTCTTAGGGTCTCCTGAGTGTTGGGGATCATCTTTCAATAGCTCGAAAATCAAAACAGTGCTGTGCTCGTTGTACACAAATTCACATAGATAAAAGAACAAATATGAATTGCCCAATGTGTACTGTTGGGTTATGCAAAGAATGTTTTGCCATGTACCATACAATGTAAGAATGCTTTATCCTGTACCATAGAATGTAAAATCTCGACATTCTCATAATAAATTCAAAAAGTTTTCCAGAATAATAAGGCGTGCTTAAAGTAAGTCTATCGCTGTGTGTGGGACATATGTATCCCACCATTAACTACCTCTGGGACATATGTGACCCAGCCTTTGATGTGAAAACTGTGTTATGTCAGAAGTTACACCTATGCACCTCAGGCCCCCTAGCAGCATTTTCTGTATATACTGAGGAGAAGAATAAAATTATTCATTAGCAGAATACTGTCCATAAAAAGTGGTCCATCTCAGATGAAGATCAGTGCCCATTGAAAGTGGCAAAAATAAGTGCCCATTCTAAGCTGCAAAAATAAAACGGACAAATTAATGTAACTAAATCACCAAAGAGGCATTATAAAAAGTTAAATACAATGACTACTGCAGCATCGATGAAAAGCTAGATTTTGATGAAAGCTTAAAAAGTATGGAAGAGCTGGACTCATCTCTGGATAATGTGGAGGTATGGATTAAATACTTTCTTTCAACAATTAAATTAAATAATGCTTCTAAAGTTAAAGACAGTGGTGCATCAGCACATAACGACAGTGAAACTTTCTGAAATGTAAAATTACCTAAAATTCCACTGCCTGTATTTACGGGAAATCATGCAGACTTTAGAGCTTGAAACAGCAGTTTATTTCTTTAACTGGCGATAATAATGAACTGAGCGATTTACAAAAGCTCCATTATTTAAGGGCCACACTAAGGGGAGAAGCGAAACAAATAGAAACAGATCAAGACAGTTATAATTCACTTCTTAAAGCTCTTGAAGCTCATTTTGAAAATAAAAGAGCAATTGCTGATTCTCACATACAAAATATATTAAATCATGAAAAAAAATCAACAATGAATCCCCCAGGGAATTACGTCATTTCTTGAATAATATAAAATGTAATTTGCGCGCATTGAAGGTTCTGGAATTTGAACAATGTAATTTATTTGATGCTATATTAATGAATATATTGCTTCAAAAATCAATAAGGAAATGCGTAAACAATTCGAGTTGACATTAAAAACAAAAGAAGTACCCGCTTTAGATGAATTTTTAGGTTTTCTGGAAAACAGAACTTTCAGTACTAGAAAATTTGTATAAAAACACTAATCAGAAACCAGTACTGCGTAAATATACTATTATTTCAGGTCAAGAGAACATAAAACCTAAGAGTGTAATGGTAAATACAGCGAGAAAAAATATGAAACCCTGTATATTCTGTAACGTGGAACATTCTTTACACAAATGTTCTAAATTCCTTAATACGAGTGTCTCAAAACATAATTCAAGAATCGAAGTTGCGCAAGATATGTTTTAAATTGCATAAGGGACCATGCAAGTCAACATTTACGTGTAGAATTTGTAAAAATTCAGATCATAACAGTTTAATTCATGTTGATTCAAAACCCAAAGTTTCTCAGACTATTCCAAATGAGTCATCGGCGCCAATAAGAATGAAAAAGATTCCCCAACTGCGCAATGGTCTGCAGAAGTCTTAGGTGCTATATTAACCAGTAAAAGTATACAAACTGGGTTACTATGTATGATCTCATTATTTATTGAAACCACATGTGGGAAAAAAGTAAAATTAAAAGGAATATTAGACTCTGGAAGTAGCTACAATATATTAAGTACTGAAGCGGCTGATGCTCTGGAACTAAATAAGCAAAAAATAAATACAACCATAACGGGAATAACTGGAGACGAATATTTTGTGAAAAACAAAACAACCGCAAAAATCTCCAATAAAGACGGTGATTGGTGTAGGAATTTATCCTTTTTTATTTTACCTCGTATTATGGGGCTTACACCTACAAATAAAATTGATATTTCTAAACTAGATTTCCCAAAAGAAACTAAACTAACAGATCCTACCTTTCAGATGCCTAGCAAAATTCACATATTATTGGGGTGTGAATAATTTTTTGATTTGTTAAAAGCAGAAAGATTCAGGTCATTTGATGGTTCACTGTTGTTACAAAATAAAGTGTTTGGTTATTTAGTGACAGGTTTGATCAAAAATTCAAATTCTTATCATTTTTCTGGGTTAATTTCAGAAGATAATAATTTAAATAAGTCTATCAAACAATTCTTCGACTTATAATCCTTTCCTGGTGATCACGCTAAAAATGTATGTGATAAAACTTTTGAAAAGCAATTCTGTGAGGAGCATTTCATTTCTACACACAAGAGAATTGAAAAAGGAAGATATATTGTAAGGTTACCAGTAACTGAAGATAAACTGACGACGTTGGGAGTATCGAAGGGAATAGCAGAAAGGCAATTAAACTTAATTTGGTAGAAATTAGATTAAAATAACCATGGCAACGTTATATAAGGCATTTATGGATGAGTATTTGTCCCTTGATCACATGGAGGTAATTAGAGATGATGAGTGTTCCAATATAATATAGAATATTATATCCCACACTATGCAATGTTTCATCCTGAGAGTGCGTCAACTCCCCTCCGTGTCGTCTTTGATGCATCTTCTAAATCAAATCATGGGGTTTCTCTCAATTCTATATTGTTAAATGAAGGAACTGTACAACAAGAGTTATTTTCTATTGTGGCCCGATTTCGCCCTCATAGGTACGCATTTAATGCAGACATAAAAAAAAAAAAAAAGTATTGTCAGATACTAATGGATGGAGTTGATAGAGATTTACAACGGATATTGTAGAAGAGTATGTTTGCTCCCGTGTAGACATATAGATTGAGAACAGTAAATTATGGAACGTCATGTGCTCTATTTTTAACAACTAGAGCACTGTGAGCATTAGCGGAGGATGAACAAGGGAAATTTCTTCAGGCATCAAAGGTACTAATTAACGACACATACGTTGATGACATTTTATCCAGATCTAATAACTTAGAAGAAGTAATGAAATTGCAGATTGAGTTACAAAACCTCTTAGCTGCAGGAGCTATGGAATTACATAACTGGGTTTCCAATAATCCAAACTTGTTAAATGACAATAAAACCGAGGAATACATATTCTTATCAGATCAACCTACAGCTAAGACGCTTGGTTTATTATGGCGACCTTCATCATATTGTTTTAAGGTATCTGAACAGTTGTCCAACAATTTTACAAAACATGAAGTCCTTTCAACCATCACTTGACTCTTAGACCCATTGGGTCTTATCGATCCAGTTATTACCAAGCGAAAATATTTCTTACAAGAAATGTGGAAGAATAACTCAATGGACGTGCCCATTCCCAGTGAGTTAAAAGTCTGGTTAAAATTTCTAAAGCAGCTACCAGAAATTAATAAATTAAAAATTCCTAGATATATTCTTATATCTGAAGCTATCATTATTGATCTTGATGGATTCTGTGATGCATCGCAAAAAGCTTTCAGTGCAGTAATTTATATTGTCTCAAAGGCCAGAAACAGAGCTGTGAAAACAAGCTTACTGTGCAGCAAATCAAGAGTTTGCCCAATTAAAGCTCTAACCATTCCATAACTGGAACTGTCAGCTGCGCTGCTCTTGGCCCAATTTGTGGCAAAGGTGCCAGTAATTCTTCAAATCCAGTTCAACCACATTTATCTTTGGAGTCTTTGTGTTCGCCTGGATCAAGATGTTTCCTGAAAGATTAAAAACCTTTGTGTCTAATCGAGTTAAGTTGATAAATTTTTTGTGCCCAAATTTTGACTGGAGGTATGTTTCAACAATTGATAATCCTGCAGACATCATTTCCAGAGGTACCTCAGCTACAGAACTGTTGAGTAATTCCTTATGGTGGAGTGGCCCTCCTTGGGTGACTTTTGACTTTCCAGTACCAGGTGCTTGTGCAACACCAGTGGATGAGGACTTTGAAAAAGAGCTAAAACCTTCTAGCTTACCAGTTTTATTAATTAATTCAAATTGTGAATTTATTGATAATCTTTTATCTTTAAGTAATAATTTCACTAAACTTTGTAGAATATTAAGCTTTATTTTCAGGTTTTTTCATAACATGAAACATCCCAGGGAGCACAGAAAGGATAAGTTAAGTGTAGAAGAATTGAACCAAGCTTCAGATGCATTGGTAAGATTAGTGCAAAGCAATGAATTTTGTGAAGAAATTTCTTGTTTAAAGAGGAACAAAATTATAAAGAATAGTAAATTAAGTAATCTAAACCCATTTTTGGATGAGAATGAGACTCTTCGTGTAGGTGAGACGTTTACAAAATACAGACTTTGGTCAAAACAAAAAGCATCCCAAACTTTTGCCTTCTAGGCACAAACTTACTAAAAATTATAATGGAATCCCTGCATAGAAGATATATACTTGCATATAGGTCCTCAAACGTTATTACATTGCATGAGGCAGGAATTTTGGCCAATAGGAGGAAGAAATTTAGCTCGAAAAATTGTAAATGAATGTATAATGTGCTTTAAAAATAAACCCAAATTATCTGAGCAGCTTTTGGGAATCTTAACTGCAGAGAAAGTTAACCCTAGTCTTCTATCTTATACCTGTGGAATTGACTTTGGCCCATTTTTGATTAAATACAGGGGTCAAAGCTAGGGCACATTTAAAAAAAATTATGTCCCAATCTTTGTATGCTTTGCCGCTAAGGCTCATTTAGAGTTAGTATCAGACTTATCTACAGCCGCATTAATTGCAGCTCTAAAATGCTTCTTCGCAAGACGAGGAAAATCTTCTTGCTTATATTCTGATAATGCTCGTAACTTTGTTGGCGAAAATTCAGAAATAAAGATGTTGCATAATATAATTGTTTAAAAATGTGTATTTCTTTGTCAATTCTGTCAATGTTGAACTATAATGTAAATGCAAATTTGAAATTGAAATTCCAACGCGGGGTGTATATGTTACGTCATCAGCTACACCTATGCACCTCAGCCCTTTAGCAGCATTTTCTGTATATACCGAGAAAAGAATAAAATTATTCATTAGCGGAATACAGTCCATACAAACTGTTTGTCAAAAACAAAAAACCATATACAAATGCTAAATTTACCTTACTTTTGACATATTTTGTTCACATAAAGAGAAAAACAGGTTATTTTATTTTTTTAAATTCATAGTCAAAGAGTTAATGATCTACGAATCCAAGCATGCAGTAGTGTAATTCAAGCATGCGATATTATACAGACATGCAGTAGTGTAACACTTGAAATTTCGAAGAACATTAAACAAGAACTTCTAACTCAAATACAGATGGACACATTAAATACGCTTAAATATTTCTAAATGTCAGCAGTATTAGTAAATCTAAAAAATTATAAAAGCAAGCAGTCATAAGTAGCAGTAAGACTAAAAAATTATTTTGCATTTTTATTCTTCATAATATCCTATTACTGTATGAATTTCTTACTGTAATAAATTGCTGCCATGAGTTAATTCTATTAGTAAATTTTTATATGCTTCATAATGTCACACACACACAATTAGCAAAAGATATATTTATAAGGATGACTGTATACCTGGGATCTGAATTTTATAGATAATGGTGTCCATAAAGTTGTTGTTTCATATTATCTTAGTGATGACATTTTCGTAACAAGATTCTTAATTTTAAGAATTCGTCTCTAAAGATCCAATGCTCATTGTCAAGCATACATATTTTGCAAGCAGATGCAACTTCCACAACTCTAGTTCTGCTACTGAAAATTATTTCAGAGTTTAAATATTAGTAGATGCAACTTTCACAACTCTAGCTTTCTGCATTAAAACTTTATTTTACACTTAAAAGACATTTTTATACTACAAAAGTAGATGCCACATGTTTGAGGAAAATACATTTTAAAAAGAAAATAGTCATTATAAAAAGTAGATCTATTACATATGTTCTAATTTGTACAGACATGGAAAATGGAATATTTTCAAAATACTTTCAATTTCAAAATTATTAACATTATAAACAGAAAAACGGGTTAATTTTTTTAATTCATATTATTATTATGCACTACTTTCAATTTCAACATTATTAACTTTATAAAGAGAAAAACAGGCTAATTTTTTTAATTCATATTATTATTATTCTTTTTTGATAGTCTTGTTTTCTTTTAGAGAAAGAAATGTTTTTAATTAATTAAATGAATTTTATCAGTCAGAATAAAAAAAAACTGTTTATTTATTGTGGTATCATCATTTTGACTCCCCCTCTTCATTTGATTTTCATAAATTTATTAGAGCATGTTATGAATTATTGCACTTACTAATCTTGATGTTAAAACTATAGTAGAAATTAGAAATTACAAAAGAAAAGGTGAAATACTTATTACTTACAAGTTGGCGATTTTCAAAAATTGTTTTTTTGAATTTCCCAAACTATCTCTATCTCTTGTATTTCGGTAAACCACACTTTAACAGTATAAAATACAAATTTTAATTATTAAATAAGAATTAAATGTTATATTAAAAATAAAAAACTCGCATTTTTCATGAAACCCTTCCGCGATTATTTTCTGCTGTGGTAACCATGTGCACAGCGATTTGTTTTTGCTTTAAAAAACATCAGAGACTATAAAAAAATCAGCACTGCACAATGGCCATCTACTAAATGCTTCTCATTGTTGTTCCTTCCAGTGATCTTGTTGCAAATTACTAAAGAAATCCTAAAAAAAATTTACAGTAGTTTATTTTATTGCAAAGCAAATTCCAGAAGTGCATATTTTAAAGTTGAGTTTAAGGCACAAAATATCAATATTTGTTTACAAAAAATTGTTGGAATACAACTAGAAGAATACATATGAAAATTGCGATGTTGCTTGACTGAATGATTCTATGAGCATGTATGCCATTGTCTGGCATATTTTTTTGAAAATTTGGCTACTTCTACTAAGGTGGTTGCAATAACATGCAAGTGCTGTAAACCCTTTCGTGATGTCTTTATCCCTAACATGTCTGTGTCTGAAAATGACCATTATTTTTTAGAGCATAAATAAACAATAGTACTCAGTTTCATCTCTCTAAGAAGACCATGAGACCATCTTACACATGATTATAATTTTTCTTCATAACCAAGCCCTTACAGTAAAAAACACTGCATATCAGAGAATCCCACATATTTGGCAGCATGTACAAACGTTGCATTGCACTTGCTGTTATTTGCTGTATGTACACAGTGATCCGCTTTCATTAAAATATATATATATATATATCAGAGAATTGCACGAATTTGGCACTGCAAAAATGCACACTGGCTACAGAAGACACACATACACATCTCTGAGGAGGTAACTACACTCAGAGATGTGTGTGTGTGTTTGATATAAGTACTCCATACTTATATTTGGGCATAATTACAGTTCTTCATAGTACTGCTCTAAAGTGTATTATGTGTATAATGAAGCAAACAGCTTTTGTACATGAGATACAGCTATCTTCAAACCAATTTCTGGCAAACATTCTAACACTCTGCTTGCTATTTTTCACCTTTCATTTCCATAAATTTCAATCGTTTAAGAAGTAAAATTCATGCAATGTAAATATTTTCATTTTTTACATTTGGATAAATTGCCATATTCTTGAAGAAATGCAACATTTTTTTTATTAGCTTGCATATTGCAGTCTCATTATAAGAGGTGAGGGAAAAAGTGTATTTAATGCAAAAATGAACACTAATTATGCTGAAGAGTACATTTTATTACAAAGTGGGCCATTTTAATACTTAAAGTTTAATTTGAGCAATGCATTGCATAAAGATGACTACAGTCAAAAGTCGTTAATTCGGACCTCAAAGCTAAAAACTTTCTGCACATGCGCCGCGTTGACACATGCGCATAGGCATTTACGCGTGGGCGTAAGACCTTTACGACTGCGCATATGTGTGTGCGCAAACGCAGAATACGTTTTCGCGTGCGCGTTTAACGTATAACGGACGGTATAAGCTAAAATTATCTAATTATCTATTTCAGTTAATGTTGATGATTGCGTCGTACCTTAATCTTCGAATTGGATCCGGCTTATTATTTTTTGCAGACTGTAAGAGCAATTTTATAAAAGTAAACTTGAACTTTCGATTATGTCAAATAGAATTTCCGATGCTGAAGCTCCCAAAGGATCTACAAAACGAAAGTATGTTTCGATGTCCATCAAACAAAAAGTGGAATTGCTGCAAAAAATTGATAAAGTCGGTATTCTCGGCACAGCAATTACGGGACTTGAACAGCGGAACTTTGTAACTGAACATTGAAAGAAATGTTTAATAAAGTAAACAAATAAATATTAAGCTTTTTTTTTTTTTTGTAAATTTTGATACACTTTAGATAATAATTGTTCTTTATTTCATAAATTAAGGTTTCATATTTTTAATTTTAGAATTTCTGCATGCCATCTTACGAGATTTAAACTGATGATCTATAATCCAGAATCGTCGAAGTCCCGATGATTCCGGATTAACGACTTTTGACTGTATAAATATATTTCTATAATTTAAAATATAAAAAATCAACTGAAATTTTAAAGATATAAATCTTAAAAACATGATCGTAGGTAAAAATGCTTGTCCCTTTCAAATTTTACGTTATTCAACCTCTTTGTTTTGTAACCTCTTACGGCAAATGCTGTCAATTATTTAGAGATAAAGCTTTTGGCAGCGACTCTTATAGCTTCACTTTCTCTCACCCAGCTCTGCTAGTTAAGTATTCTGGCATTGACCATTTTGCCAGCCAAAGCTAAAATGTACCATTGGAAATTTTGAGGCCATGTTTACTTAGACAGATCTGGACAGACGCAAAGTATGAAACCATTTTAGATTACATTTTCAATTTTCTGTTACTTTAACACTTGGAGTTTGATTTTATACACAAATTGTGTTTTTGCTAAAGTTTTAGTAATGACATTCATTCAAAATTTTCAAAGGATTTCATCGTAAAGGGTTAGCCAAAAGTTTGTTGAAATTTGAAAATTCAATATTTTACGGAATAAAAAAAAAGGCCAACATACGGTGGTGGCAGCAAAATGTTAGTGACGGCACATTAGAATTGTGTATGAAATGAGCTATAGTCAGAGAGGGAATCGGTCCGTTCATGTCATTTCTCTTTTCTACCTCGCCTGCGGGTGTTGCGAATTTATCACATCAATCGTAATCGGACTATTTATTCGAGGAAATGTGTGGTTCTGCTATTCAAACTGTTAATGTGACAGGTAGAAGGTGCACCGATATGTTACAGAATCACATCATCACTAGTCTAGCTGATAACACTTGTTGTAAGGTATGAGTTTTATGTCAGAATAGTGTTCTGCCCCATATTGATACCCACATGAAAGATCTCTTGCACACATCGTATGGTAATAATTACATGCTGAGCCAGCACTTCCGTCAAAATTTGCCTCTCAGGTTCCCAGATCTCTATCCATGTGATAAATTGGTTGTGGGGTTACCCGAAATCGCAAGTCTACCACAATCGTCTGACCTCATTAGGGATGCTTAAAGACAACATTCGATGGCATTCTCTCACTATACCTACAGATATGTTGTATTGCTATTTACAACACTGTCCCTCAACAACAGGTATTACCGACATGTTGAACAATTGTTATAAAGCACATAGTTTCTCTAAAAATCAACTGTTATGCTAATTACTGCTTTTGTTACTATATGACGCACCATCTGTTGGCCGTTTTAAGCACTTTTTTTTTTTTTTGTCAATTTTTACCTCTATACTTATTCAGTGAATTATTGAATTTTCAAATGTTAACAGACTTTTGGGTCACCCTGTACTTTAACAGCAATAACTCAATTGACAGTCTAGTACGGTCTAAGAACTGAAGTCAGGCCATATAACAAGACATGCAGATGACCAGAAAGAACCATTTTTAATAGTATACTTTAATACTACACAATATTAAAAAGTACTGCAAATATAAGAACTAAATGTTATAAATAGTTAATAATTTGTTATGATTCTAAAAAGAAAATATTGGAAGCTTTCACCAAAGAATAATTACAAAAATAATATGGATTATATAAGAACACAGTTTTTTCAAATTCGCTGGATTTCTTGGTCAAAATTGTAATTTGACTAAAATAATTTATTGATGCTTCTATTTCTTTATAACTTTTTATGTGTTTTCTTTTTGTGGCAGGAGATATTACAGCAAAAAATTGGGAAATGATGAATGTTGGATAAGTGAAAGTTCTGAATATTTGAGCATATAACATATGCTGTTCATGGGAGAAAGGCCACATGAGAAAAGGAAGAAATTTCTGATGTAGAATTCTAGTTATCTATTATTGCATAAACAGTCATTTGTAATCAACTCTTAAATGCCTAGTATATATATATATATATATGTGATGTATCAGCTTTTGTCCAGAATAAATAGATTTGTGAAGATGTTGTCGTAGCTTAAATAATCAGACGATAAGTTTAAAAAACAGGATCCATTTATTATTATTCAGGAGAAATAGCAGTTACAAAAATCAGATATCCGGAGTAAATAAAAAGAATTACTAATAACTTTTTGTATGAAGTTTACTGCATTGTTACATTAAAGAAAAAGCCCCAATATTCCTTTTGCGAGTCCTTTTATAGCCTCTGAGGCAGAGCTTTCAAGAAATGATGTCAGCCTATCCAGTTCGCTTTTAAATATTTCCAGAACATTCTAAAACTGTACGTGTAGAAAAAGCGGAAAAAACAACTTGACTACGGAG